TATTAATGTTTTTTGATCTAAGCTGAATGTGTGTATTGTGATTTATTATGCAGTAGAAAATAAAGTACATACATTTTTATTTAACACAATATAAACATTTTATTACACAAGAGAAAATAATAAATAACAATTTGTTTACTCTAAAACATATATTTAAATTATCTTGTAATAATTGTAAATAGTTTAAAAAAATTAATATTAAATATCTTATAGTTTAATTTATAAATAATTAATATAATACATAATATGTCGACCACAATAACGATTATTTATTCAGATCTACTACCCAAACGATATCTTTAAAATAGGTAATCCACTAAATTGTTTGCATATTAGTGTATAGTGTTCTATATTCTACATAATATAAATATTATTTACGTAATTTATTCATAATCGTGTTCAAATTCAAATATTATCTCACAAYTCTTATTATAATATTGTGACCAAATTACATAAGTGTTATCAAGTGATAAGTATATACTACACATATCTTACGGTATTTTAATTTTGGGTTGTTTTCATGAGGTATGACACTTCAAACTAAACTGTTAAATCTATAATGAACTAAATTAGGTGTAAGACGTGAGTATAACAATAATATTTGATTTTGATTAAAGGGTACAATTTTTCAAATTATTATTGTAATCTAGGATGATAAATTATAGTATAAGCCATAAGGTACATTAAACATAAAAAAAATATAACATCCTAATAGTTACGATGAAATATTGGAATGAAAATTTCTAGATTGGGATTTACTATTACAGTTGGTCGTATTCCATAGATATACTATATTATAGATAATATACATAATATATAATATTAGAATAGAATTATCAATCATATTTATGGATGAAATTTTTATAGTAAAATGTGCAATAATAAATAGTCAGACATAATAGAGACCAGACGGCACTCGTCTTTCTTTCGTTATAAATCACCATATTCGAAAAATTATTCAGAAAGAATATAAATTTAATAAATTCTTATTGGAAATTTCTAACATTTTTAATGATCATAAAAATAATTGATGAATTAAAATATTTTTAAATTTAAAGGAAATAATATAATAATTATCATAATATGAAAAACTCTTATTTTTATTACAATTTATTTTACCTAATTATTTTAAAATACGAGAGCTATTAGCTTTGATAAATAACATAATTTAATTTTGATTGGATTGTTAAATACATATGATAATTTAATTGTGATGTTATAAAATTTTTTAAAATTTCAAAATTTATTCAACTTCTGAATCTAATTAAAAAAAAGTTTAAAGTTTGAACATTAATATACATAAATTATATTATTTATTCACATTTATTATTTTATTTAAACTTTAATTTAACTGCTGATTATTATTATGTATTACATGTAGAGCATTTAGATATACTTATAAATTATTAATATATTGATATAAAATAAAAACTGATTTACGTACCGTCTTAATTTTCTATGAGATATTAAAAACCCATTAGCTTCGGAGAATCGTGGGAATAAAGAAATGGTTTTGTATTATTACGTTAATATTTTATTGTTATATTCAAACTTAAAATACCAAAACAGTGTATTTTATATGATTAAATATGGATATTCCTTCGAGTCTACTACTTAATTGACTAATAAGCAATAAATGAAAATGATTTATTTTTAATGCGCTGGTCACAAAACCAAWCAACTCATAATCCAATTTCAGTAACCATAAGTACTACCGTAGGTGAGGGTAATCATAAAGAATGTGATGAAGGTTAAGCAGTGATCAACAAACAGTAATCATTTGATTTTTCAAATGACTATAGATAAGTATATGTATACCTATCTAGTAGGTAATGAATAATGTAAAAAAGTAGATATATATAGTTAAAAAATATATTTTATAAACTCAAAAATCCTCAAAAGGTATGTTGTAAAACTCAATGCATATTATATTATATAAGGTTATACTGTATCAAAGATGATATCTAACATGAGGTATGACAATATTTTTGTAAAGTACTTAAAATAAAGTTTTTTTAAAATTTTTAATTAGTGCTACTTATAAGGAATTATTATTTAAAAATTAATAAGTACAAATAAATTTTGCTTACTTAATTATAATTGGTTGACTTACAAAACATTTTGGATTACATTACTTCAGTATTAAATTTTGTGCAAAATTGATTTTTTTTTTGTTCACAATTTGAGTTTTAAGAAATAATTAATCCTAATAGGTTATTTTAGAATAATATTATATTATTATAATATTATAATATATTTGTTAAGGAAATTATCTCTTTACTTTTAATTTAATTTATTTTTCATAAAAAAAACACAGTATTATCTACTTAATTATATCTTTTTGTATGTAAATTTTGATTAAACTAGTATGACTTTTTACATGAATAAAAAACAAGTAGGTAAATTCCAATGTTAATAATTTTTAATTTGTAAGAATACATGTAAACTAACCTTATCATAGTTGAACAATCTAATTTTAGAAATAGTATGGGACCTTTTTTTTCTATATTGTATATACAATTTAGTAAAAATATAATAAACTGATACAATTTAATAAATTGCGATTGAACAATCATTTATAAATGCAAGTTTTTTTTTTTTATAATACCAGTGGAAGTAACATTTTTTTGTAGGTAAGAAACATATACCAGTAGAATTTATTTGTTATAATTTTAACACTAAAAGTAAAATTAACTACCAAAAAATCTATGGTATTTACATGCGTATTATTCTTAGAATTTCAAGTTTTTAATGGCTGTGCTGTGATGACCACTTTGCAGATAGCATCAACGCATCATAACCAAAATTTAAGGATATTCAACTTGGACATAATTTAATTATTATATATAGGTAATATAATAGAATAATTTCTATTCAATGTAATTTCTTCAATTTTTTGCAGATTAATATTGATTATCTGCAATCATCGTTTACACAGAACTAAAATTCTCCATAACAGTGCTGGGGTAACGTTTTTTCCGGAACCATTATATTAGCATTTAAAGATTTCAATTATAAAAGTAATATTAGTTTCAAAAGGGTACACAAAAAAAAGTTGTTTTAGTTTAAAGTACGGTCAATCYTAAGTAATATGGTTCTGTTGGTGCGTTTTAAATTCACGTGATATCATAGGACTTCCTCAGTCATTCTGCTATTTTATATGACTAAAAATGTTGATTACATCTAACAATGATTTAACTTTTCTGGCTTTAAATTAAATTGTCCATGTTTTTATTATTCAACTGATGTGTATTCTTGAACTAGTGATGAGGTTGGCTACCCGACTTGATGAAAACATTTTTTAAATAATTGCAAGCAATTCTTATTAGTCTCTAGCAACTAGTTTATTATTGTACCCCATCGTGTTCTGTTCAATAAATACAGGACAAACTTTAAAAACATTGTTTGTTGGTCTAGAATATTTTATATCATATTTATATGGTTATTTAGCTGCAGGTAGGTTTAATTAATATTATTCATAATAATATTCTAAAATTACGAGCCTATAAAAAATAACTGTATTTATATAATTATTATATTTTTTGGTTACAATAATATGAACTATTTAGTATTTATGAGAATTATTGTTTCAAATTTTCAATCCTTAGTTATATAAATTGAACATYTTATAATTTTTAACTACAAATTCGGATATTATCCATATAATTATATATTATCCATCTTCTCTACGACACAACATCACTGGATATTGGAGAGCATCAAATGTTAGATGTGTTTCATTGACGCGATGGAGAATATCGTCTCTTGCCTGAAGTATAATGTCTATTTTAGTAAATTCTTGGCCAACAATTAGTATCGCCACTTCATCTGACTGTGGAGTATTGAAACGGCCTCTGTGCTCGTTTGATGGTTTTTGATCGGCTCTAATGATCACTTTGAAGTCAGAAGAGTTCGATGATAATGTTTAAATGACATATTTAAAACTTTGTACATATGAATATATGAATTATTTGAAATATGTTGACACTGTATTTTTTAGCACGGTCATTTTAACTATTAATTTTTAATTTTAATTTTATTGAACTAAATTTATGCCTATGACATTCACAAAGAATGTGGCTTTCTATCGGTGATATAATTTTCGAAATAGGTTCAGTAGTTCCAGAGATTACACTTAACAACGTCAACTAACAGTTTCTCTTTATATAATAACTAATAAGTATAGATATAATAGAATAATCTACATTCTTTAACAACAAATTTTAAGGATCTTTGTTTAAGATTCTCAAGCTATTATCTAGTAAAATAATTTACCTAATCAATATATATATATAAATATAAAAAAAAAATGTAAAAATTTGAAATATCAATGCATAATTCTAACATTCAAAATATTTTGTATGCTGTGCATTAATGATTTGTCTTTACGATTTTTACAAACATATTGAGAATTTAAAGTTTCTAGAACTATTTTTTTCAGAGCTACTTCAAAAATAATAAATTAAACATTTTGTCAAAAACTGATGCTGTATAAATTAATATCCTGTATTTATTAGAGAACATTGTTGGATCTAAAGTAAACCAGATCAAAATTTATACAATACACCAGATTCAATTTAAAGTATTTAGAAAAAWTTTCTGGGTGATATTAGCAACAATTTATATTTTTCAAATAAATTTATCATTTATTTTCTTTGCTCTGATCAGAATCTAAAATTAATTAATTTTTAAATAAATCATCAAAAAACAAGTGTTATTTTAAACAATCTAATTATATGTATAATCATGAAATGAAAATCTTTGCACGGAGTAAAAGTAAACTCTAGAACTACTTATTAAATATTCTTGAATTTTTTTTTTTAACAAAAGAGTACATTGTAGAGTTGGTTTTTGGCATAAATTTAGTCCAATAAAGTTGCGGRCCTAAGAAGATGACCATATTRAAAAATACAACAGTGTCTCCATCTTTCCACTTAAAACCATACCTACTAAATATTAAATATTTTTGTGTATTGTAAGATTGCTATTGGTTTTAAATCTAAGGTAGATTATTAATTATAATTATACGTTATAACTATTTATTATTGTTTTAGCGTAATTCATTTCGCGTTTTCGAGTTTTGTAAATTTTTTAATTTTTAAATCAACGGGAATTTTTCACTGGGAGTTTTAAAACATGACTAGCCAGATATTAAATGACGAATTAAACACAAATTTTGAATCATAATATAGAGTTGGTATTTTAAACGGACACGAAATACACGGGGATCAGTTAGTATTATATATCTACATCATYTTATATGGTGTTATAGTTGGAATTATTTKTTCAGAAGAAAAATTTATCAATGGAGTTAAATGGTCTAAATAGTCTCCAACTTCTAGATGTGTAACCTCAACAATTTAACCAAAAAATAGTCGCTATAGAAAAATATACTATTGTGGAGTACTTAAAAAATAATATTTTGGTATTGGATATTTATTTAAGCAAAACAAAGATTTATCCATGTCATTTTAATATTTTGTACTATATCTAATATTATTGTTTCATTATTTAATCGTAATTTTGAAGAGACACAGTTCAAAATACACCAAATTCAGTAATTTATCTTCTTMCTCTGACGTATTATAATAGTATACTTAAAATTCTAACTGATGTGTGATTTTAGAAAATTTTAATTTACTATAAGAAAATATATATTATTTTCAAAATTTTCCATCGGTGACATAGGACATTAGTATACAATAATAATTATTTAAATCAACTACTTATGTACTAGTATAAAGGTATTAGGTAGGACTATGGATAGATATAAATTGTATAGAACATAATATCGTGCTATT